TATTCATTTCTTTTCAGTTCTGGATATTGAAGCCAGGGCCACCCACATGTCAGGCAGGTACTCTACCACTGAGCTATGCCTTCAGCCCCCTCTGTTTTAATTGTTTGTTTGTTTGTTATGGTTTGTTTTACTTTTTTAGAAAGGGTTTCTCTAAATTCCTCCATGTCCTGGACCTCACTATGTAGATCAGGCTGGCCTGAAACTCAGAGATCTACCCACCTCTGTCTCCCATTGCTGGGATTAAAGTTGTTCCCAAAGGCATTGAAGGAGGGGTTTTGGAAGGAAGATGACATGCAAAGTAAGAATTCAGAGGCGAGGGCAGTCTGGACAGCATTTGGAAATGAAGCTGATTCCAGACAGCTGTTGAGAGGTTCTGTGTACTTGACAGCCATGAGGGGCAGGGATGGGAATGATAGCAGCAGAGTGAATGAGCTGTAAGAGGACAATGGCCTGCACATTTGGGCTCCAGAAAAAACAAGGAATGAAAGCTGTGCAAGTTTAAGGCATCTGTGGAGGTCAGAGACAGAGCATGTGCTGGGGAAAAGTAGGTTAGGTGGAGGCTCACTGGGGAGACCCAGACAGACTGAAGAGTAGGGAAAAATATGGACTTTTAGGTTTGGATAGACAGGGAGACCCAGCAAAGGCCTGTGGGTAATGTGCCTGACTGAAAAGCTTGTTCTGAGACTGAGGAGGAACATCCAGCTGTCAGAGCTCTGTGGAGGAAGCTTGAGAGAGACAATGAGAGACACCCAGTACAGGGCTGGGTGGTGGGTGGTCCAGCTGGTGGAGTCTAGGAAGAGGCTGGCTGGGCAGGGGGCTGCCTGTCAGAGGTAGATGGGCAAAGGACACGGTTCCCAGATGTGGGGACAATACATGAGTCATTGTTAGGTAAAGATAAGGAGCCTAGTTCTTAGGCTTATGAGTGGTTAAAATAACAGGTGTTTTAAAGTTTCTGTTGAGAAGCCAGATATGGTGATGTGTGAGATGACTCATCCCTAACAGGCTTGAGGGACAGCCAGCCCAATCCAATAAAAAAGACACTTTCTGAGAGCCAACCTGGGTCTGCCTAAGGAAGGGCCTTAGCAAGAGCAACTGAGACATGATCTGGAGATGACCTCGACCAATGAGAGGCAGCCATGTCACACCGAGCAGATGCATATTCACCAGACCTTCCCCCAGGGTGGGGTGGAAGGTATGTAAGGCTTGCCTCTTCCTGAATAAACTGAGCTTGTTGTTTCAAATTCTTCCACTGTGTGCCAACTTGTCCCCCTCCCCCAAAGGGAACAACAGCAGAGGACCTTGTTACAGTGGTGATCCAAGCATTCAGGAAGCTGAGGCAGGTGGATCTCTGTGAGTGAGTTTGAGGCCAGTCTGTCTACATGGCCAGTTTCAGGCCAGCCAGGGACACACACACGCACACGCGCACGCACGCACACGCGCACGCACGCGCGCGCACACACACACACACACACACACACACACACACACACAGAGAGAGAGGGGGAGAGAGAGAGAGAGAGAGAGAGAGAGAGGGGGGGGGGAGGAAAGGATAAAGAAAGGGAGGGGAGGTGTGGGGGAGTGTTGAAGTTGGGATTCACGTGTTGAGACTTTTGGTCACATCTTGGTCACCGAGGTTTCTGGAATATGTGAGACTTAGGTTGGGTAGGTGTGCAAGGGAAAGAGGGACATAGATGGAGTGGAGTACCTGTAGCTCTTTTTGAGGAAGATTCCAAATGAAGACAGTATAGCAGCCCTGATGGCAGGGAGTACTTTGAATGAAAGGGACCAGGGGCCAGAGGGCAGAATTTTAGTTCTGCTATTTGGAGGGGGCACAAACTAAATAGGAACAAAAAGAATCATCTCCAAGTAAGTTGGACAGTTGTCAAAGAACAGACAGTCCTTCCCTGCTGACACACCTGAGAGAGGAGGCAGTTCATTTCCTTGATGGCATTGAAATTGCCACCTCCTTGTCCTTACATATGAAATGGAGCATTGTATAAGATGAATTAAAGGACAGAAGAACAGCTTCTGGTCTGTTGTAAGAGCTGAATAAATGCATGTCAATAATGGCTATGCTGCAAAGAATGCACAGTCTGTGGAGTTTGTCAGAGGTGTGGTTGCCATGGTCCCTGCAGACTCCCTGATTGCCAGCTAGGCACAGGGGCACTTGTTGGTGTCACTGAGCTAAGATGGTGTTACCTGGTCCCCAGTGGCTCCTGTCTGTTTGTCTTCTGTCCTGGTATTGCGATGCCTCAGTGATAGGACGACCGGACCCACAGGCAGGATCATCTCTAATATCTATGGAGACCCAGAATGAGAGAGGTGAGTCAGGAGTAGAGCGCGGTGAAGGGGGAAAATGTTCTGGGCAGCTAAAGATAAGGTAAATATCTTCCATGGCCAAGGTTAAAGAGGCTGCTATTTATCTGTTAGGTGAAAACTGGCTTGAAATTATGGGCCTACACCACCAGAATCAGCCTTCCTCTGTCCCAAGGTTTTGTTGTAAACTTTATTTTGTTTTGTAAGATTTCTTTATTTTTGTGTGTATGAGTGTTTTGTCTATATATATGTAAGTGCACTACATGTGTGCCTAGTTCCAGCAGAGACCAGAGACCAGAAGACTATATTGGGTCCCGGGAACTGGAGTTATGGATGGCTATGAACACCATGTGTGCATTGGGAACTGAACCTGGGTTTTCTGCAAGAGCAGCAGGTGCTCTTAACCATTGAGCTATCTCTCTACTCCAAGCTTAAGTGTCCTGCTTTTTTTCTGGCTAAAATGGAAGTTGATCTAGTTTTCTCAGATATTCATTTCTTTTCAGTCCTGGGGATTGAACCCAGGTCCTCACACATGCTAGGCAAGCACTCTGCTACTGAGCTCTGCCCTCAGCCCTGTCTGTTTTGCTTGTTTCTTTCTTTTGGTTTGGTTTCAGACAGATTTTTCTCTGTGTAGCCCTGGCTGTCCTGGAACTCACTATGTAGACCAGGTTAGCCTTGAACTCAGAATTCCACCTGCCTCGGCCTCCCACGTGCTGCGAAAAAGTTGTGGGCTCCATAGTGACTGAGAATGAGATATGTGAGAGGGGAGTAGATGGGCACAGGCTGTCAGCCCACCTCCTTTCCCTGCCTGGGTTCCAACCAGCAAAGCCAGAGCTGGAAGGGTGAGGACAGTGCTTCCAAAGACCCGGCCTGGCCTGACATTTTGGGGTTTGAGGACCCCTCTGCACTGGAAGGAAGGGAGCCAGGTGTCTTTGGTGAGCGCTCAGGGAGAGCTGTGCACTGCGAGGGTTTATGCTGCCCTTGTTAAAATCCTAGCAGCTCTGGCATCAGCCAGCAGCACCTGACAGTCAGGCCGTTGGTCCCTGCAGAGCTGGGCGGCACACTCACGCTTTCATTCCTCCACTCTCTGAATGGAGATCCACCAGTCACCTGTGCGTCCTTTATACAGTCACCACACAGCACGACTACATCTGAGCAGGAAGCAGACTGAACTGTCTGCCCTACCGGAACTCACTTTCCAGTGGGGAAACACACTCTAGAGAAATAGGGGAAACGTGTCAAATGGTGATGAGTGCAGTGTAGACAGACAGAAAGCCTGGAAGAAGACAGAGCTGGAGGTGTGAGCATGAGCTTGGAGAGAGCAAGGTTAGGGAAGGATTCACCCGAGAGTGACAGCTGAGCAGATCTGAAGTGGATGGGGGAAGATGTCATATGGATGTGTGGTCAAAGGAGCAGCAGAGGCAAAGGCCCTGAGCTGAGCATGTAAGTGTCCAGATCAGTGTAGCAGGAGCAGAGGGAGCAGGGGAGAGAGGGTGGACGTGTCTGTTGGGGCTCTCAAGACTGGTGAAAGGACTTCGAATTGAACTGGGAACTTTGAGGAGATGGGTAGCACAAGCTAACTACATTTGCAAAGAATTGTTCTAAGCCCATTGTGGTAGTTAGTGCCTAAAGAACACACATCTAGTAAAGTAATTCACCTGCACTAAGGAGGCACAGGCAGGAAAATTTCTGCAAGTTTGAGACCTGCCTGATATATATATGGTAAGTTCCAGGTCAACCAGAGCTACATGGGGAGACCCATAAATAATAATATATATTTAGCTAAAGTTAAAAATCAAATGAGAGGTTCACTCTATTGGTGACACTAGATGGTCATGTGGCCCCTTCTAGTGGTTCCTGAAACAAAAGCTGTGGCTGTGGGCTCTGGGGAGAAGCTGTCATTAGAAAGAAGGGACAGAGGAACAGAGTCAGTTGGGATCACAGGGAATTCAGGCTGCTTGTCCACAGAGATGACAGCAGGCATTTCTCAGGGTCTTGGGGATCTGAATTTATTAGCTGTGAAGGTTGGCTTTCTTGAAGAGTCCTCTTAAGAAAAGTACCCTGTAAGATTCAGCTCAGTGGCCTGTTTGTCCTGGAGACCCCGGACTTTATCCTGTAGCTAGTCACTTGTTCTTTTTCTCCTGGGATGAGGGAAAGAGGGATCAGGACCAGGCACATTCCATGGGTGCAGAAGGGGAGGAGAGACTCTATGGGATCAGACCTTATGGATTAAAGGCATGTCAGTCTGTCTGTCTTGTCCCACCGTGTCCTGACTTCTGTTTTACTTGCTGTTCTGAGAATGGATTGTAGGTATCACGGAGAGCTGCAAGGGGACACTGCAGGACCTGAAACCCTAGAGAGGCCTGTGGCTCAGAGCTGCACAGTGAGGGATGTGTGGTAACAGGAAGTGTGGGGAAGTGGCGGGACTTTGATAGACTTGAGGGTGACATCAGCGTTTAGATGTGGTGTGAGAGAGGAAGGAGGCAGAGAGGACACCACAGTTTGTACTTGGACAATTCAAAAGTGAAGTTGTTTTACCAAGATGGAGCTGCGGGAAGTGTGAGCTTATCTGAAGTGGAGTGTGTGTGTGTGTGTGTGTGTGTGTGTGTGTGTGTGTGTGTGTGTGTGTGAAAGAGGGGTGGTAAGATTTTTTTTTTAATCAAACGAACTGTCACAAGCCCCGTACGGATGTCAGTTCCATTCGTCCCAACTCCGGCTGTTAAACAGGTTGTTCCAAAACCAATCAATTCATCTTCACAAATTGTAACTACTAACCAGCCACAGCAACGGCTTATCATGCTGGCCACTCCACTGCCTCAGATCCAGCCCAACCTCACTAACCTGCCACCAGGCACTGTGCTGGCACCGGCTCCGGGAACAGGGAATGTGGGCTATGCGGTGCTTCCGGCTCAGTTGCAGCAGTCTTCATATGTATCTATAGCAAGCAACTCTAATTTTACTGGAACATCTGGTATCCAGACACAGGCAAGGCTTCCATTCAATGGCATAATCCCATCAGAGTCTGCCAGTCGGCCCAGAAAACCTTGTAATTGTACAAAGTCACTGTGTTTGAAATTATACTGTGATTGCTTTGCAAATGGTGAGTTTTGCAACAACTGCAATTGTACCAATTGTTACAACAATTTGGAACATGAAAATGAAAGACAAAAAGCAATAAAGGCATGCCTTGATAGAAATCCGGAAGCCTTCAAGCCGAAGATAGGGAAGGGAAAGGAGGGAGAGTCTGACCAGCGGCACAGCAAAGGGTGTAATTGCAAATGGTCAGGATGTCTGAAAAACTACTGTGAGTGCTACGAGGCTAAAATAATGTGTTCCTCAATCTGCAAATGCATTGGCTGTAAGAACTTTGAAGAAAGCCCAGAACGGAAGACCTTGATGCACTTAGCAGATGCTGCTGAAGTGAGGGTCCAGCAGCAGACAGCAGCCAAGACCAAGCTATCCTCTCAGATCTCAGTCTTGCTGATGAGGCCGACCCCAGCTCTGAACAGTGGAGGAGGAAAATTGCCATTTACATTTGTAACTAAGGAAGTAGCTGAAGCCACGTGTAATTGCCTTCTTGCCCAGGCAGAGCAGGCAGACAAGAAGGGGAAGTCAAAGGCAGCGGCAGAGTGGATGATACTTGAGGAGTTTGGACGGTGTTTGATGAGTGTCATCAACTCTTCAGGAAAAGCCAAAAGTGACCCTTGTGCCATGCACTGCTAACTCCTGCACAAAAGACGGACGTGAACTGCACAGAGAATCTAAGGTGCCAGGACATTGGATTTTCTAGAAGATAGTTTAACAATTACTGCATTTTAACTCAGCCCTTGTTTTAAGAGACCTGAAACTATAGTATTGAATGAGAAGAAAATTTAAATGAAGAAATTAGTACATTTTAAATCTTAGTTAATTCTGCCTCTGTCCCTTCTAAATTTTTTCTTTAAAATTTTTTCTTTTATTGTATATATTTTTTAATTTGCTTGGGTTTCTTAAGAATTAGATGTTCTGTCCTTCTGATTCTATTGACAAAGTACATTCATAAATTATTGTAATATCCTTTATAATGTATGGTGTTGTATGACTTTGTTCAGTAGACAGAGCCAAAGCAGCGTGGGTAGGACCCATTCTTTGGCTCCAGATCTAGAATATTCACAGGTAGAATGTCCACATAACCAGATTCTTAATGAAACATATAATATTTTGTCTAGAAAACACCATCCTTTTAAAGAAAAATCAGCTTTTTTTGGGTGGATTCTGGAATACTGTGTTGTCTTTGGGAAATTGGAAGGGGAACAATCCCCATCACACTTTTCAGATATGAAAGTTGTATTTTCTTTAAAGAAAACAAAATATTAAGGGACAGTAATTTTCAGATGATGGGCAGTATGTCTCTGATTAGGAATGGCTAACATGTTCTGGAATGTCTTCATTTTCTTTGAAGGAAGTGGTATATTTTACAATAATTGTCGAAGTCATTATTGATAACTTCTAAAATGAGAGATTGTGTGAATTGAAGTAAACATTTTATGCCAAGATAATATAGGACTCATAAGCATCAAGTATAAAATTTGACTTGGATGGAGAAGCAAGAACACAAAGCTGTGCGATCATGTATGATGAAGTTTTTATCCACACAGTTCTCTGTAGAGTTTTGGAACTAAATTTGACTCAATGTATTACCTAATTTACTGAAATGGGCTCCTAGCAGCTTTCACTATTGTAGTGAGCTACTTTTTATAAAGGCAGTTTAATTCAGCATTGTTTTTAGCCAATGATTTGGTAAGCTGGGGTATGTGTGTTCTCATAATTGCAGAAATAACCTAAATCATTTTCAGTAACTAAAGACTGTATGATCTTAAGAGCCTATTGTAGTAGGATTCTTGAGTTTATGACAAGGGGGGAGACTATGTTGGAATTGAGGCATTTTGTAAGGTACCTTAGTTCTCGGTAACTATTAGACTATGCTTATTATTACTCTTCCTACAAGGATTTTATAGTTGTATGTAGTAAGTGTGTATATATGTTCATATGAACATGAAAGATACAGGCAATAGAAATTAATGAAAGAGGATTCCGTTATTCATTAAAGTATCCTCCTTTTAAAGTGTGGATTTATAAATTATAGGGCAGTGACTTTAAATGTAGATAATGCAGACATTCTTAGCACCTCAGTCTAGTGTGTCGAAGTAAACTTTGTATAAATGTAAATTAGTCTAAAAGGACAAAATAATATCTAATCAAGTTATTTTTCAAAAGACTGCAATAAGTTTTTGGTCTAAACCTGAACTTTGTTCATTTTGTATATATTATGTGTTAATTTTAATTGCACCGTTGTGATGTGTATTTATATACAGTGTGCAAAATGTTTGTGAATTTTTGATTATAATTGTAGATTATGTATGATGGCATTGCTTAAGAATGTTTTGCTTGTAAAAATTTGAAGGTGCAATCAAAAAAAAAAAGCAAAGAATTGGATGGTTAGTTAAGATAACAAGAATATGTTATAGACATTCAGCGGGGTATTAAAGTTATACTTTGACCAGTCAAGGGTCTGTCAAAAGGCAAGCCAATTTATTATGGAATATTTGGTGTTATCCATTTTTTTAAATATTTCAGCTGTCTTCTGCGATGAAATTCTTGTGTGCCCAAATACTATAGACAATTTTTGTAAACAGGTAAGCTTCTCAGACACTGTTCCACTAGGTAACTAGCTCCTGCACTGAGCCTAGGAGACAAGCAAGCTCCTAGATGCATAGCTTTGTTTCTTGTGCAAATAAAGCTCAGACCATCCCCTTCCCTCAGGCTAGGGGCATGGCAGAGAGATTGACTGAGGACAATAGGGCTTTTTGCATAACCAGGAGCAGTAAGGACTGGAGCAGAATTCCACAGGCAGACACAGAACCACATGGCCTGAGAGAAGAGAGGAAGACAGAGGTTCTGTAGAGGGTAAAACAGATTTCTTATAGAGTTTATCAGGGCCAGGGGTAAGGAGCCAGGAAGGATAGAGATGGAAGATGAAGGCACAGAGGACATAAATCAGGTCAAAAGCATAGGAGCTTACTAAAACTATGAGGACAGGAAACCTGAGCACAGAGAGGAGCTGAATGTGAGGATAGGGCTGAGCCATATAGATAGAATTAACTTCGAACAATAAAGTGAATGGACTAAAGAACTCAGTGTGCTTAGATTCATCTGATACCCCTCAGATTAGTATTCTTAGCTAATGGGGAATTTATTAAGGCAACTCCACATTGTTAAAAGGGAGGTTTATTTCGGGGATAACTTACAACAAGTAAAGAGATAGGTTACAAGACTGAGGAGAGGTGAAGTGCAGTCCAGTGGTATTCTTTGAAGAACTCTACTCAGTCTACCATCTAGCATCCAGGATCACCAGGAACCAAGAGAGCTGGCACATCTGGATCTCGGGTCTTAAGGGCTCCCATCTTGGCCCCGCCTCAGGTACGGGGCATAGATAAGTATAGATGTAACCATCTTGTTAAATAAGAAATACAGAGCCAAATACAGAGTTAAAAGCCAAGAGGTCAGAGCAATAGCTAAGAGCTGAGATTAAAAACCTTACCCTTCACTGCCACTGCTGTCCTACCTCTCTGCAAGAGAACTACTTCCTGTGTGTTTGTCTTCTTATAGACTTTCTGTTCTGCTTTGTCATTGGTTGTAAACCCAACAACATGACCTCCTCTTCACTGCCTATCTATACAGACCTCTACATCTTCTATGGTTGGTATTGAGATAAAGGCAGGGTTGGGGATTTAGCTCAGTGGTAGAGTGCTTGCCTAGCAAGTGCAAGGCCCTGGGTTCGATCCTTAGCTCCAAAAAACAAAAAGAGATTAAAGGCGTGTGTCTCTATGCTGGTGGTATCCTTGAACACACAGAGATCTGATCTGCCTGTCATGTGATCAGGATTGAGGGAATGTGCTACCACTGCCAGACTTCTACTATGGCTTGCTATTAGCTCTGACCCCCAGGTAAAATCAATATACAAATTTCAAACATTTGTATTAAAAAAATACAAACATTTCAAATAAGAGTAGAAATATACATATACATTACAACAAATATGGTTCTATATTTGTATCAATATGCAAAATATCTGGAATAAGAATATAAAAATAGTTTACACTTGTATCAATATACAAGAATCCATAACAGTGCAATTTATCTAAGGCTGATATTTTACTAAATTAGTTTACTAGTATATACAATAATCTATCTTATATTCTATACCTATCCATTCCCCTTTTATTTCTTAAGGGGAATACCAAGTCCAAGATTTTCTTCTACCCCCAACCCTATAACCATTATCCATAACTGTAGATGTAACCAACAGTCTTATTAAATAAGAAACACAGAACCAATGTAAAAGAGAAAGCCGAGAGGTCAGAGCTCAGAGCTAAAATCTCACCCTTCCTCCTGCAGTGTCCCAGCTTCCCAAAAGAGAGCTATATCCTGTCTGTCCGTCTTTTTATAGTATTTTGTTCTGCCTTCTCATTGGTTGTAAACCCAAACACGTCACTGCCTCGTCACTGTCTGTATGTACAGCCCCCCAGGTCTTAAAGGCACATGTCTCCAATGCTGGCTGTATCCCTGAACACACAGAGATCTATGGGATTAAAGGCGTGTGCCACAACCGCCACACTCTTGCTATGGCTCTAATAGCTCTGACCCCCGGGCAACTTTATTTATTAATATACAATCAAAATCACATTTCAGTACAATTAGAATACCACCACACATAACCCTCAGAAACATGAAACCTTTGGGGAAAAGGGGTGTCGTTTTCTTAGAATTGCTTCCTGCTGTTCAGGGGGCGATAGTATCTCTGTGGGATTCTGTAAGAAAGCTCAGACAGTTAAATCTCAACTTGTTCTGCAGCCAGTCTCAGAGTAATGGGTAAGGTTGTCTGAGATCCTGGCTAGAAGTGTAGTATGATGATGAGTACCATGGCATTATTCTGGACTGGGTAGAGTTGTTGTTGTGGGGCCCCATCTTATTCTAGAGACTTCAGAGATTGCTATTGAAAAAAACTTATTTTTTACTGTGAAAAACTTGAACACTATTAATATGAAAATGGAAAGTTTGGATTTAAAGATGACATGACATGTAAGAAGGATTCTGAGAAATCAAGAATAAGCATAGAGAGAATTAGAATCTTGAAGACAATGGTCCCTTTTTATTGGTTTTCTTCTGTCCCACACCAGATGGCTCTTCTAATATAAGACAGAATCTTTCAACCTTTTTCTTTTAGAAATATGTGTGGGTTTAGAGAAGGAGTGAGCCAATTCCAATAGAATAATAACATACACATCAATGGTTTCATGTAAAATGCTGCACCGACCAGTCATGGTAGCCCACACCTTCAATACCAGTAGCTGGAGGCAGAGGCAGGTGAATTTCTGTGAGTCCAGGTCAGCCAGGGCTGCATAGTGACTCCCTGCTCAAAAGAAAGCTGGACTGGCCAGGACAGAGACTGGTTCTGTTGACAAGCCTCAGGGAAGCTGGCACTTTCCTCACTGAGGTTGGCTGTTGCAACCACTTCGCACCCCAAATGACATCTGCATCCTGTTCCTTCATAACGCAGAGGCATCACCTGTTTCGAGAGATTTGTTTGTGTTGTTGCTCTGAAACCACCAATGCAGTTGGGCCTTGATTTGGAGGGTGGAGTCCACATTCAGCTGGCCAGAGTGGACCACAGTTTTCTGGCTGACTCAGAGGAGATAGATGGACACAAAAGAGGAATGAGGGTCCAAAGGAGATGCGAAGCCTTTTTGAGCAGGGAAGCTTGGAGAGTAGAGATCGCTGATCATTTTCTCTGTTGCTCTGTGGAGCTACCAGGTTTTACCCTAATATCTGATTCCCAAACATTTTTTGTTAATAGAACA